CTAAGTGCATTAATGTCATCTCCTTCAACCACTGGCCCATGTTCCAGGAAGGCAGGTCTATCTTGTTTCCTGCCATATTGCCAATGCCAAGTCCAGTGTCCTCCTGCATGATGGTGTTGATGAATGCTCATGAGGGTGCCGCAGTCTGGCTGGGCACAAAATAACCGAGCCACTTGTGGGTTCAAAATAGGAACTCCTTTATTATCCGAACTCCCGCAAATGCCACCCACACGGCCCTTCCAGGAACACCACACACTGGAAATCCCTCCTCCAGCACTTCCCCAACCAATTCGAACTCTCCAGGAATCCCCAGAAGAACTCCAAAGTAGCGTGAGACTCTCCAAAGTAGCAGGCTGAGGTGGACAGCAGGGGTCTAACATACAATTGAATACACAGCTTAACATAACCATCATTATCTCAATGGCTCACTGGCGTCACCTCTCTACCACTCCCTTCTGGCACAAATGCCAGTCATTCCGACTTGGCTGTGGCTCTCAGCAGAGGGTTTTATTTTTTCATTATGGACCCTCATGGAGTAGCCTGATTGACTGCTTTCAGCACTGTGCATTTCTAATCTTAGTGCAGTTCTAAGGGGTAGGTACTTCCATTATTCTCACTTGATAGGTGAGGAAATTGAGGCACAGAAAAGTTGGATAGCTTTCCCAAAGTTACCAAGCAAGCGACAGCAGTAGTCTGAACCCACTGTGGATTATAGATCATGTCCTGTGCTAAATCAGGAGGTCAGGAGATGTTCACAAGTCCAGTGCAGGCTATTTTTTAGGTAAGAAATCAAAAGTGGCAGGTGCGATGGCTCATGACCATAATTCTAGCAACTCAGGAGGCTGAAGTAGGAGGACCATATATCCCAGGCCAGCCTGAGTAACTTAGTGAGACTCTGTCTCAAAATTAGAAATAAGAGCTGGGGATATATCTCAGTGGTGGAACACTTGTCTAGCATGCATGAAGCTTAAAGTTCAATCCCCAGTACCATCACAAAAATTAAAATTAAAAAATTAAAAGGGCTGGGATGGGGTTGTGGCTCAGCAGTAGAGCGCTTGCCTAGCAAGTGCAAGGCCCTGGGTTCATCCTTAGCACCACATAAAAATAAATAAAATAAACGTATTGTATCCAACTACAACTAAAAAATAAATAAATAATAAAATAAAATAGAAAGGGCTGGGGATGTAGCTCAGTACCTCTGGGTTCAATCCCCAGTACTGGGGAAATAAAGAAAAAGAAGAAATTAAAGCTGAGAAAGAAGTTTAAATGATCAACCCAAAGCCAACCTGAAATTTGGATCCAATGTGACCAAGCTTAATGCTTCTGAAAGGCTGTGATTTACTTCACCCCACCCCTAGCCCAAGCTTTGGGGCACACAGTTTCCTGTAGGGCTCCCCCATGCTCCATAAGTGACTTGAGTCTGGCAACTGTGGAGAAAGAACAATGACATCCCCAAGCTCAGAGACAGGAGGCTCCACAGGAGGCTGTCAGGACTCTAGTTCCCAGGGTAGGGCTGGCTGCAGGCTGAGCCTGGGCCCTCTCTCTATCTGCAGCCTCTGACAAGGGTGCCTCTCAGAGAGCCTGGGGCTATTGAAAAACCAGCCTCTACCTCAGAGCAAAGCCTGTCCAAGGAAGGGACATCACCTTTGTCCTTGGAAAGACCCACAGAGCACCCCTAGACACATTCCCATCCTGCTAAGTGATTTATCTACAAATAACAGGAGAGAGCTGCTGCGTCAGGTGTCCCTGATTCAGTCAGGCTAGGTGGGGATCCATAGCAACCCCCTAGCAGCCACCAATCAGCATGAGACAGGGAAATACTTGGGATGCCAGATGACCCTCCCAGTAGTTTATGGTGGTTGATAACGTGTTGGGAAACCATGTAGTTCAGCACGTACACCCCTCTTGGCTTAAACCAATCAGTTCAAATAAATCCCCCTCTTGTAGTAACCAATCACCCCTACTCAACTTGTTCCCGCCAGTGAATGTGCTAATCATGTTTTAGAGTTGTTATTTGATTTTCCCGCGGTGTGTGATGATTTGCTAAGAGATGCTGTGATGTATGTGGGGATCCCTGCCTTCTCCAAAGAATGTATAAAACTGCTGCAAACCCTGGGCTCGGGGCCTCTCAGTGTCACCAGTTGCTGTGTGTGCGCGCGGAGGACCGAGCTAGCTTGCAATAAACATCTCTTTGCTGCTTACATCGATCTTGGGTCTCTGGTGGTCTTTTGGGGGTCCCGAATTCGAGTATAACACTATCCCTTGTGGCAGTCTCTTGTGGCAGAATGGTGACTGACCCCTTGGATTGGGAACTGGCAGCTTCAGACATGGGGATTGGTCAAGAGATTTTTCATCCTCATATCCTGGCAAGAGCCAACATCATCACTCACACACTAGTTTTCCATCACTCACGTTTTGCCCATCCGCTGGCATCTGGTTCATCACGGCTGTCTTGTTATAAGTCAGGGACATGACAGATGCCATTAACATAACATCCCCATCCATCCTCCCAGGGTAGGGTGGTATGGAGAGAGGCTGAGAGAGAAAGATGAAGTCAAAAGGTAGCAGCTTCTGACATCAGATGGTTGTGGATGTCTGACCTCTGCTGCTTATTTGCTAGGTAACCTCTCAGGAAACTTAAGTTTCTTTAGCTGTAAAATGGGGCCAGAAATGCCTCTGTGGCAGGCAAGGACACCATTCTGCATAGCTCCAGAGGTACCATTTACATTGTCTATGGGAGTGGTGCCACTTGGTACCCAACTTCATAGAATACAAGGTGAAGGTGCCTCAAGACTGCATATCCCACATCTGTACCTTGCAAGTAAGAATTGCTAAGTCAGTTTTCAGATGCCGAGCCAAGGTGCTGTCGGGCTGTTGTGAGGACCAGGGGCTGGGGTCATGGAGGTGCACTGGCGGGCATGGCATTATTATGGGTTAATGGAGTGAAAGGCTCCCCTCTTCTACGTGGCTCCTGCACTGTAAGCCCCTGACGAATTCCAGCTCACATTCACTAGAGGGGATGCAGACCCACCTCACCAAAGCTCTTTAGCAAGTTCTCCGTTAACTTCCTGTAGGGTTTCTTCTAACCTCTCAGTCTGGCCCCATGGTGGCCACAGAGGATATCAGACACCCTGGCATTGGGCGGAGGATGGTTACAAGGTTTCCCTCTATGTAGGGGTTTATAGCTGACTGGCCAAAAAAAAAAAAAAAATCCTGAATAGAATCTCTTCTCAGCCTGGGTTTCCAACATCTACCCAAAGAAAGTGATCTTTTCTTTACCTCCCTTCATATCATGTTTTTCAGTCAAGAAACTTTTATTAAAACCTATAAGGCTGGATATGGTGGCACATACCTATAATCCCAGCAGCTTGGGAGGCTGAGGCAGGAGGATCATGAGTTCAAAGCCAGCCTCAGCAAAAGTGAGGCACTAAACAACTCAGTGAGACCCTGTCTCTAAATAAAATACAAAATAGGGCTGGGGATGTGACTCAGTGATCAAGTGCCCTTGTGTTCAATCCCTGGAACACACCCCCCCCCAAAGGAAAAAAAAAAAAACCTACTATATGCAAGGAACAGTGGAGAGAGGAGTCCCAAGACAGGCAAGACAATTTCCAGCCTTAAGAAAGTCACAGCAGAGATAGAGGTGGCCCATGTGGGACCTCAGGGATACACTGCAGCTTGTGCAGTGTGTGTGATGGGCGCATTCACCTTCACTAATGGCACTTGGACCGTGCTCTCCTCTGAGCCCTCAAGCAAGAGCGCCTTGGAAGCCAGTAGCTACACTGCCATATTTAGAATTCAGGCGTTCCTCCTCTCCATCGGAGGGTCCCATCCAGTTGGTCCCATCCTGTCGAAAGCAGTTTCCTGCAGCCTCCCTCTGCTTTTAGCTGGCACCACTGGCTGCCCTTCCGGTGCAGGAGGTGATCACAGGGTCTCCATCAACTGGGGAAGGCAGCTCCCCTTCTAATTGCCTCTCACCCCTCCCTTCTCCCTCTCCCTTCACATCAACAGTCCCAGCCTCTTCATTCTGTTTGCTCAATGAACTCTGAAGTATAGCAGGCCCTTTGCCTTGTCTGTCTGTTACTGCAGAACCCTTAGGTCCTCTAGCTCAGAGCTGGTAGGTGCTCTGTACATATTAGTTGAATGACTAGGTGGCAGAATAAACGAAGACCACTCTTCATGCTTACTCTAGGAAGATGTTCAGAAGTCCATGGTCCTTCAAAGAAGTCTTCACAGCTTCTGTTTCCCACCAGAGAGCCCTCGTCCTAACCCCTTTATTATGCATTCCTTCATTGGGTCTGGATTTATTGAACAGCTCTCCTGAACTAGGCATTATAACCTGTGCTGAGGAGACAAGCCTTGACAAGTCCTCCAACAGTTTCCTTCTCCACATCTTGGCCCCTTCTTTTATCCCCATTGCCACCACACTGTCCAGAGCCCTCACCCTTCCCTTGTCCCCCTTTACACAGGCGTCTTCAAATTGGGCCCGTTTAAGGCTGCTGTTCGTCCTAAGAGTTAAGGGAGGGAGGAGGTCTCCCAGTTTCTAGTTTATGCCTTTAGCCCATCCTCCCACCCGACCTCAGGTACCTGTCCCCAGGGACAGGTCCTAGCCAGGATGTGCTCAGAACCCTTACCCACTCTGCCTCCCGGAAGAATCCCGGATTCTTGTTTTACCTCGGCCCCTGGGGTCCCTGCCCAAGGGCATTCTGCAGAGCCCACCAGCACTCAGACCCGCAGCGCCCTGGCCCCTCCGCGCTGCCTGCGGCTGGAGCTGCCAGCTTTTTGGAATTCCTAATCGCTCCTGGCCCCGGTGATTGGCTGTTCAGCTCTGACCCCACTTGGGCTGCCGCCTGGTTGGATAAAAGGGGAATCTCCTTGGGGCTCCAGAGCATTAGACACCGGAGGGGGCACCTGGGACCAACTTTGCCAAGCAGGGAGCCCGGTGGGGGGGTGGGGGGAGCAAAAGACCTGCAGCCTCAGCCCCTCCAAAGAACCGGGAGATGACGGGGAAAACGGGGGAAGCGCTGAGCAAGCCCAAATCTGAGACAGTAGCCAAGAGTACCTCGGGGGGCGCCCCGGCCAGGTGCACAGGGTTCGGCATCCAGGAGATCCTGGGCTTGAACAAGGAGCCCCCGAGCTCCCACCCGCGAGCTGCCCTCGACGGCCTGGCCCCTGGGCACTTGCTGGCTGCGCGCTCCGTGCTCAGCCCTGCAGGAGTGGGCAGCATGGGGCTGCTGGGGCCCGGAGGGCTTCCCGGCTTCTACGCGCAGCCCACCTTCCTGGAAGTGCTGTCCGACCCTCAGAGCGTCCACTTACAGCCACTGGGCAGAGCGTCGGGGCCGCTGGACAACAGCCAGACGGCCAGCTCGGGTAGGTGCGGGCGAGGCTACGAGGTCGATGGCGGGCGTCAGTCGGGAGCCCCGCGCCGTCGGCTCTCGCCTGCAGGACGAGGCCTCCTCCAGGTGGAAAAGTTCCTGCAGGCCGAGGGGTCGCACGCAGCTCGGGCCTGGAGCCAACCCACCCGGGAGCAGGACCCGGAGGATGCTCTGGCGCCGGTCGGGTTTGGGCCCCAGCATTTCCAACTGCTGTTAGTTCCCGTGACCCTGAGTCAGGCTGGTCTGGGGCGCAGCGCTGGGTTGGGGCCCCAGTGGATACCCGGCTTGGGATGTCAGACCCGTGCAGCAGGGTCTGCGGGAGGCCTGGAGCTTCCCAGCTCTGCTGCTCCGTGGCGGTCCAGGCCTCTGGGAGGATCCGCGCTCCTGGAGCTCGATGTTGTTCCGCGCGCTGGCGGCCCAGGAAGCGGGTGCAGGCTCTGGCCCCAGCCCTGGTGTCCAAAGTTGCAATTTTCCTCCTCCTTTCTTCATTCCTCCCTCCCCGCATTGCTCAGCTGGGTTTATTTTTCACCCCACGAACTTGGAGAACCAGGCCACCGAGCCAGCCGAAGTGGCCGCCATCGGATCCTGTGTAAGCGTCACAATTTATCGGATCTCGGCGCTTCGCTGGCCCAGGACCCTAGATGACCTCGCCACGCCCTCCCTCGGCCACTTTCCTAGCCGACCGCTTTGGTCTTCTCGGCCCACCGGCTTTTGTGCCCTCTACGCAATTTCCCCAAATTTTCGTTCCATTTTATTATTCTTTTTTTTTTTTTTTTTTTTTTTTTTTGAAAGGGCAACGAAAAGTGGCTCGTTGCAGGCTCTCCGATTTCGAGTCGAGGGCACATTGTGGGGGCATCGCGAAATCTACAGCGACCCGGCAACTCCCAGCCCTTTCCGGGGCTCAGCTCTCGGCGGCACGAGTCCGCTCCTCCGGGCCAACTTTCTGCAGGCGCAGAGAAGAGAGCAGACCCGAGGGTCCCTGCGACCCCGTGAGGCTGCCGGGTTCTCCGACCGTCCCTCCCCCCAAGACCCCGGGGCCTTTGCCTCTCTTGCAACGAAATCTGTTCAGATTCTCCAGATTGAGGCGCCGACATTGGTGGGGCCATCTTGGGCTTAGGGATGGGGACAACCACTGGAGTCCCTGAGGGCTTCCAGGGAGACCGCAGGCCCGCACGGCTCGCGCAGGCGGCCGGGGGTGGGGCCCTCGCCGGTTTCGGGTGCCGCAGAGCGCTCTCCCCATTCTGGTGCATGTCCCTCCACCCGCCTTTCAGATTCTGAAGATGTTTCCTCCAGTGACCGAAAAATGTCCAAATCGGCTCTAAACCAGACTAAGAAACGGAAGAAGCGGCGACACAGGTAAGACCCCCGCGGCGCTTTCGGTTACTGCTCCTGTCCATCCGCTCCCCTGCGGTCCCCTGCTCCGGTCTCGGGTCTTATTTTCGCGGACCCCAGAGCTGAAGCCCGGGGCCGTACTAGGGCGGAGAGACCCGGCGTCGTTTGTGGGAATCTGTCTGGGCTTGGCGTCTAGCCGCACCAGGTGAGGATGCTGAGGGGCCGCCAGAGCAGCCTGCGCAGCTCCGCCGCGGGGCTGCTTCCCCAACTGGTCGGGCTTTCGCCTCCCTCCGCAGGAGAAAGGAAAGGCCCCAACCTGGGCCAAACCCGACCTGGAGAGGGGTCGGCGGTCCCCACTTCCTGGCAGCAGCACATTTTGAGAGCCACGCAGACCTGGCGGCGGGCAGATTGGGCCCCCATCTCCCACTGGAGCCCACCTTTTTACCTTTTTTCCGCTGCCCCCGACCCCGATTCTTCTCTGCCAACTCCCCAGTTTTCTGCTCCCACCGTTCCCCAAAGCTCGAGCGATATCTGCGCTTATGGAACGTATTCTTTTGGCTTCTGTTATTTTATGCTTCTGAGAGTTGCTACCTTTATGTGAGCCTCAGTTTCCTAGTCTGTAAAATAGGGGGGTCCCAACAGAACCACTGGAGTGGGGTGGACTGCATTGGAGTGCAGACCAGGGAGAGAGTTAAGTGTCTTTAAATAGACATTACTTGCACGAAGTTAAAATTTAATAGGTGCCAAAGGGTATGTCCTAAAAAGCAATCACCCTTTTCCTGCCCCACGCCCCCAGAGACCTATTTCCCTTTGGCATCAGCACCACTCCTACTCACTCCTTGTGTAAGTTCATGGGAAGATTTTTTTTTTTTAAGAAAATAAAGGGGCGAGAAGCAAAAATCTGCCGTCTTTCTGCGAGTGCTGTCCCTGCGCTCCCTCCCCAGCCGGGCTGTTTTCCCAACTCTTTCTTTGCCCCAGTCCAGGTGGGTCGCTAATGGGATCCCACTGGACATTTCCCCATTGGGGAGCTCCCTAGATCCCTGCCTCGCCTCATCTTCTCCTCTCTCCCCAATTTGTTCCCAAGCCTCTTTGTAGGCTCTTTCTCTGCCCCTCCCTCTTCCTTCGCCCTTGGAAGTTCCACTATTGACCCCCATTTTTGAAAACGGCCCTTCCTGACCTCTCAGGCCCCAATAGGTTCCTGCTTGAAAGAAGGTGAACTTCGACTTGGTTTCTCTTTGATGGATTCATTTCCTTTGGACAGTTATTTGCTTTCCTTGCTTATTTTAAATGGAAACGTTTTTTACTAGTCCTGTTCCTCATACTTTTAAAATTCAACGAATATTCATAAAACACCGCTGATGCACCTTCTCTTGCTGGTCCCAGGGTGTGTAATCCTGTCAGCCTTCCCAAACCAGGACAAGGATGTGGAGGTAGCCTGCTGCTACTGTGCTGACTGTGGAATATGGGGTAGGGGTTTCCCTAGATATTTCAAATTATCCCTCAAATTCTGGTACTGGAATGGTATAAGGGCTTAAGGTTCCTGACCCTTCGACCCTCTCCCCAAAGACCTTTGGGGGCTTTGGTGAATTCCCAGAGGGGCAGAACAGCAACTCACCAACATCAGAGAATTAACTATCTTGGGTTTCTATTTCTGGTGCATGGAGGCAGCAGATTATTGGAGAGGAGAATGGCTACTGATGGCTGGCACAGTATTTATTTATTTATTTATTTATTTATTGTCGGGATTAAATCCAAGACTTTGCACAAAGCTAGGCAAGCCCTCTGCCGCGGAACTAAGCCCCCTACTCCTTGGTGCGGTTTTTAGTTAGGGGAAAAACAAACAACAACAACAAAAAAACATTTTCCTGAGTTTTTCTCATTAGGGAATTTGGGGGAAGAGCCCCTGGAATCTGGTGATGAGTGATGGGGTTGTCTTTATCTCCCCAGGAAACAAACCAGGTTTAGCAGGGTTTGGTGGGGGTGGGGGTGGAGCAGCGATGGGGACAGTTTCTGGGATTTTGCTCTTCTTGGAAAGCTCAGTTCCTCTTTAGACTGGACACAACAGGATTGAAGGACCTGGGACTCTAGCTAAACCAGGAGCAAAGTTTGGGTCACATAGTGGGCAAAGGAGGACCTCTATGGGGAATATGACACATGGTCCAGTTCTGGGGCAAGAATAGGGGAAGTTGGGGGGATTTGAAGTTTGTTTTTGTTTTTTTCTTAATCGGGTACTCTTCCAAGTAGAGGCAGCCCTCACAATGACCTCTAATCAGCTTTCCTCTGACTTTGGCCAGGTCACACTACCTGTGTAACTCAGTTTTCCTGGTTTTGAAAAGGACTTGCATATATTGATTGTTTATTTTGGCGATCAGTTCCGGAGCCCTTCAGCAAATGGTAGAAGAGAAATAGAAAGCAGCAGATCTTCAAAATTCTTAAGAATGAAACTTTCCATATACATAAGAATTCCACACATCCCCCTCAAGAGAACAGATGGAACGATTTAGAGCCAAACCAGTCATTTTCTGTCTTCCTCTCACACCCCCTGCATCATCCCTGAGATATTAAAGTGGACACCAGAACAAGGAATATGTGGGGCTTTCTCGTGTTTTCCTGCGTTCGGTGAGCATGAGGGCGAAGCAGTGAGGCATTCTAACCCCTCTGTGCTGGTCCCAGGCTCCAATCCCAGGGGCTCGAGCAAGGGATGTACCGATTTTACAAATTCAGTTTGTGGAAACTGGACCATCTCGTCTATTGGCTTGTTGATAAGGGTACAGGATAAAGGTCACCTAAATCCTAGTGAAATTAAAAGAAGAGTTTGTATCTGGAAATGGGCGTTTAGTGGTTTATTCAAAAAAGGTGGTTTATGAGCCCCCTAATATTGGAGGTGAGATTTTATGTGTTGGGGCATATTCGTTTGCTCATTTTCTTAGTGTGAGAGAATGTAGCTTTAACTAGATCCCTAAAGCAGTTTTTGACACAAAACAGGTCAATGGGAACTGCTCAGTCGGGGGCCAAGGAGGCTTAAATGGGACTTTCAGTCAAGTAGTTGACTCAGTGTGGGGGTTGGTTGGAAAGTGGCACTGGAGGGGACTGAGGAAAGTCCCCTGAGGGCAACTCTAGGCAGTTGGTAGGTCTGGTGTTGGGAGAGAAAGGTCAGGTGAGCAGGAAGGAGTGTTGGGGTCAGCTAAGCAGGTGGGGGTTCAGGTCTTGGCCATGCAAACACTGAGGCTGAAGCTTCATCTGACCTCCAGGGAAACCTTGAACTCTGAGTGGATTTAAAGTCAACTCTAGTGTCTGAGAGGAGCCCAGGAAGCAGGTCGGAATGTAATTATCTGGTGAGGTCTACTTTCTGTGCTTGGGAGTAGGAGGGGCTTTCTGTGGTCTTCAGAATTTCCTCCTTAACATCAGACTGCCTCCAGAGCCATACTCAGGGCTGAAATAGTGCCCACCCCTCACCAGAAGGATGGTGTGGGCTCTCAGCCTTGAATGAAGAGTCCAGACTATTAAGCTATCTGTGTGTGTGTGTGTGTGTGTGTGTGTATGAGAGAGAGAGAGAGAGAGAGAGAGAGAGAGAGAGAGACAGAGACAGAGACAGAAACAGAGAGACAGAGACTATGTTGATTGGGTTGTGCCAAGCCAGCCTGGGTTTGGGATCAGTCTCTGAGCCTTGGGAGAGGGGCCATTCTGTTATTCTGTTCTCTTCAAAGTCAGGCTCTTCTGATTGCTGAGGTCCTGAGTGTCCTATCTTGCTCCCCTCAGGACAATCTTTACTTCCTACCAGCTAGAGGAGCTGGAGAAGGCATTCAATGAGGCCCACTACCCAGATGTCTATGCCCGGGAGATGCTGGCCATGAAAACGGAGCTGCCTGAAGACAGGATACAGGTAACATCCCCTAGGGGACATCTGTCTCTGCAGGGTCCCAGATACACATGACCCACCCCCCTGCATCCCCTGTGAGCATGTATTCAGAAAGAATCCTTTAGTTAAGGATTCTGATCACCTACCATGTAAGGTGGGCACTGTGTGAACAAGGGCTGAGCAGATGTGGTTTGGCCTGCTGTTCCAGACATAGGCTCCCTGAGGGGGCGTGGCAATGAGAGGTGGAGTTCTGGGTAGTCCTGAGCAGGGTCTCTGTTGTGGTGGATGTCTGTTTTGAGGCCAGAGGTGGCCCTCAGGCTATTTTGGGTGTCTGTGAAGGGGAAGGTGACTTTTAGTCCTGATTCCAGTCTGTTTCCCTTCCCTCCATTCCCCATCCTATGAGGAAGACATTACCCCGCTTCCTACTCCCCACCACCACATCCAGCTGCTGCTGTTTCCTCCTCTCAAAACCATTACTTTTCCAAATCTGGCCCCAGATGTGGCCTGGGACATGTGCCTGTGGGTGTGACTCTCCAAGCCCCTCCTCTCCTGTGTAGCTCTATGGCATAACCAGCTACTGGTCTGGAGCAGCATGCCCTCTGCTATGGTGGGCATAGGGCCTTCCCACGTTCAAGAGCCCCCTGGCTGGGCCAAGGTGGGCTGCTGAATTACTTCTCTGGGAGAGGATGCAATACAGTGGCTTCTAGGCAAGGCCTCCATGGCAGGAAGTGAGTAGGGCCAGAGGACATTTCCAGTCAGCTGGATTTCAACCTGAAATGAAAGCTCCTCTCCTGGTGTGGTCCAGAGGTGGCTGCTGCTGGGACTTGGGAGTGTGACAGGAGTCAGGTCCGGACTTCCTGAAACTGCTTCTGCTCAGCATCTCTCCATACCCTAATTGAGGGCCTGTGTGTCTCCAGGTGTGATGTGTGCTAGGGGCAGAGGTGGGGCAGAGGGCGGACAGAGAAGAAACTGAAGGTTTGGGGGCTGCTTCATACCGCCTCACTCAAGGACCGAAGTATAGGAAATGAAGTCTTGAGTTACTTTTCCAACAGGGCCTTCCTCTCCTTGGAAATCTAGGAGAAATTTCAGCCACGGCTTTAGACATTGACACTAACAATAAGCTCAATTATTCATAAGCCGATTATGTTTGGTACCTTATCCAGGGTGGCCTAGAACCATCCCCTCTCACTCAGTTGGGTTCTAGTGGGATGAGCTGAATGTTGATTTTGAACTGTGTGTGCAAGCCAAGGCCCAGGCCATCCAGCTGATATGTGGCAGTAACCCCTGCCTGTCCTCCATTAGCACCAAGTTGGCCATCAGGAGCGGCTGTGGTAGTGGTGGTGGTGGGGTCTGGCAAATTGCCATGGTTGGTAGGCCTCACATTTGTGCTACTGACTGTAAGAAGGAGCATCTTGTCTCTTACAGTGAGTTGTCTAAAATCTGCTTAGCTGTGGTGGTGGAGGGTGGGGGAGTTTTAAGTTTGCTGAGCTTGGGATTTGGGGGAAGGTTGTCCCTAAGTTGTAACTGCATTGCTATAAATGCCCTGGCAGACCTAGTGTAGGCTTCAACCAGTTGCCATAAGGCAAGGAAGGTGTCAGAAGTCACCAGAACCACACAGAGGAGCTGAGGGTATGAAGCAAGGAGCATCACTGCCCCAGGACTGAGAGGATTGGCTATGATATTGGTGGATGTGGGAGAAATGAGGCAGAGTGTCTCAAATCCTCTGCACCGTGTGGCTAAGAGTGACCCCTGAATGTGTGTGTGAGTGGTCAAGTGGTCGTGCTCCCAGGTGTTTAACCAGATGGCTGAGGAAAGATCTTGGCATGTATCAATAACAATCCCAACCAGAATTTCTAGAGCAGTTTCCATGTACCAGGGGTTCTTCTAAATATGTGGCATGGCAGGAGAGGCAGGGTGGTAGAGTATCTGGGGATACTAACCCCCACTGCCTGGGTTCACAGCTGAACTTCCCCTGCTAGAGCCTCCTAGTCCTCATCTGTCCAATGGGATAAGAGATGCAATGAGCCATATGTGTACAGTGTTCAGAGCAGTGAGTACCAGGTTCCCCCCTGCTCCCTCTGATTCAGCTCTGATCTTATTAAATCCTGTGGCAACTGGTAGCAGAGAGACCACTAGCCTCCATGTATGCATTCATTCGTATATTCATTCATTCCTGCAGTGCTGGGGATGGAACCCAGGGTCTTGCACATACTAGGCAAGCAGTTTACCACTGATCTACACCCCCAGCCTATAGCCTCCTCTTGGAACTAAAGAAACAGAGGCACAGAAACTTGCCCAAGGCAACCTAGCTAGGAAATGGGGGACACAAGATTCAACACCATGTCTAAAGCCCATTCTTTTTCCACCTGCTTTTTCGGTTGAAGCCTGTGCTATGACTTGACACTGGGGGAACAGAGGTGGTTTGAAGTCAGCATGGGGCTGGGTGCTGTCTCACAACTTCTTTTAGAGGGTGGGTATTGAACCCAGAACCTCAAACATACTAACTGTATAATAACTTTAAAAACTATTTATTAGCAGAGCAGGGTGGTGAATACCTACAATCCTAGCTGAGGCAGGAGGCTCACAAGTTCTAACCCGTTATTGGCAACTTAGTGAGACCCTGTCTCACTAAATTAAAAAAAAAAAAATTAAGATCTGGGGATGTAACTCAGTGGTAGAACACCCAGTACTACATACACCCACACCCACACCCAAATTATTGAGTACCAATACATAAATAATAACAATAACCTCACTTATGAAAAAGAAATTTTTTTGTGTGTGTGGTGCTGGGGATTGAACCCAGGGCCTTGTGCATGCAAGGCAAGCACTCTACCAACTGAGCTATATCCCCAGCCCACAAAATTATTTTTGAATGGGCAAATTCATGTACATGAGTTCAAAGGGTAAAAAATTAGTTTTCCTTCCCACTCCCAGGTAGCAGGCCTCCAGTGGTAACCAATGCCTTTTGTTTCCTTCTAGAGTTAGTTATGTTTATTCAGCTAAGAGTCCTAGACACCCTGTGAGCTAGAGACTAGAATTCCCATTTTACAAAAAAGGAACTGAAGGACAGAGATCAGAATTCAGACCGAGTCTTTTAGACTCTGGGACACTTACTCCACTATTTTGTCCCCGTTCCTCAGCATGTCTCTCTGCGTGCTGATTAGGTGGGGTCAATGCATCTGAAGATGAAAAGCTACCAGTCAAGAGCCCGTCCCCTCCCTTGCCCCAGCCTTGGGTGATATAGCTGTGTGTGTGTGTGTGTGTAGGTGTGTGTGTGTGTGTGTGTGTGTGTTAGGGATGGAGGAAGAGAAAAGGGGAATCACTAGAGGCTCCAAGTATGGAGTTAGAAATTCTCCAGGTGGGAGCCAGGCATGGTGGCCCACCGTAAGCCCTGTGGCTCAAGAGGCTGAAGCAGGAAGATCGTGAGTTAGAAGTCATTGTCAGCAACTTAGTGAGGCCCCAAGCAACTCGGTGAAACCCTGTCTCTAAATAAAATACAAAAAAAGGGCTGGGGGTGTGATTCAGTGGTTGAGGGCCCCTGAGTTCAATCCCCGGTACCAACTATCCCACCCCCCGTAAAAACAAACAAACAAACAAACAAATAAAAAAAACAGCTCTTACCTCAGACTCTGACACCCATAGAAGCCTGAGGCCCTGGGCCTCAGGTTCCTCATCTGTGAAATAAAGAGGCAGGATTCCTTCCAGAAAGCAATTTTGTCAGGATCACCTCCCTCACCAGGCTTGGGCTGCCATAGGTGGAGTGGGGTGCAGACCAGGTGGAGTTTAACAGTTTTAGGTGGATAGCTGGGGCTCACACCCTGCGGGACCAACCTAAGGAGACCCCTGGACTCATTGGAGGCCTACCGAGGACCCCCAGTAGTCATACAGGCCTACTTCCCATCTTTGTTTCACTGCTGGCAAGCCAGACTCTGAGCCTCAGATTATTTATTTGTGAATTAATAATAGTAACATTTTTCTGAACTGCTAACTTCATAAAAGCATTGTGATTTCTGGAATTTATTAAGTACTTACCACTGTCCCAGATGTTAAGTACCTCCCGTGCCTTGTGTGATTTCATCTCACAACACCAGGTGAGTCAGGTGTTCTTCTCCTGTCCATTTTCAGGATGAGGACTCTGAAAGGTAAAATCAGCAGTAGACCAGGATTCAGACTCAGTACACAACTGTGATCAATGAGATCCCATGAGCAGTATCTGTACAAACTATAATAATAATTAATGTGAATGGCCCTGATAGGAGGGCCAGGTCTCTCTAGAGCTCTCTGGGTTTGGGCTGGAGAGCTATGGTGAGCTGTTGGGGAAAGAAAAGATGCCAAGTCCCCACGAGAGACTCAGGCACACAGTCCTCTGTAGGTATAAATGTTGGGATAAGGCACTCCTGAAGTCTCTGCCCAGACAACACTCCTGGCATCCCCACAAGACAACATGCCCAGGGCTCTTCCCTCCAGGGTCTCCCAGGAGACCGTCTGCAGTCCTTCAAGGATAGCGCCCCTACAGGAGACATCGTGCATAACAGATGCCGTTTACACATTCTGGTCACCTCAGTACCTGCCAGGTGTCAGATGTAGGGATGGCAAAAGGGCTTGCAGACTAATTTTATTTCCTCTGTGGGGTCACTTGTTGCCAGAATCTTAAGACGTGGGTATATATATGCATTCTTTTATTTGTTTACTGTGTTTTTATTATTGTTATAAAGTTATAAAAATTCAAACATTGCAGAGCTATGGATGTTCAAAGAGAACAGGGTCCATGTCTCCTCCAGTCTTAGCAGCTTCGTGGATAGGGAATGGTAAGGTTTCGGTGCTCTGACCTGCACGTTCAACTTTGCTTCTTTTATAGTGGTCCCTACCATGCAGTCTGCCAGTCTGTGGCTCAGTGGTTGAGTGCCCCTGGGTAGAGATCAAGGTGTCAAAAGTTGTCTGCATGGGAAAGGGCTGGTGACATCTCAACTCAAGGTAGCATTTTAGAATACCCAGACAGGGCCCACACCCAACAATCCTGA